GTTAAATCCTCACAGGGCTGGGGACTCCACCACTGCCCTGGGCAGCCCTTTCCAGGAGGAATTTTCCCAATATCCAACCTAAACCTCCCCTGACACAGCTTGAAGTTATTTCCTTTGTCCTGTCACTTATTCCCTGGGAGAGCTTACAGGAGTTGGAACATCACCAGCAGCTGTTCCCACCACGATGAGGAAGGATTGTTCATGGTTCTGAGGCAGTGTTAGTAGGTCTTGAGGCATTTTTGGTGCTTTCTAAAGGCACAGTCAAGCAGGGAATGTGGGGTTACTGAGGGAAAGCCTTGCTGCTGTCTTAGTGGAAGGAAAAGGTGACTGCGAGCAGTGAAAACTGGTGATGACTAATGATGAAGCTGCCCTGGGGCTTGCCCTGTGTGTGCTGGGTTTGCTGTTCCCCCTTTCCCAGTCCTCCACCTCTGCCCACACATCCATGACTTGCTGCCTGCTGGCTCCCAGCAGCTCCTGTTCTGTGTGTGGGCTCTCACTGTGCTCTCTTCTCCAGAGCGTGGCCGACTCCTCCTGGATCACGGAGCTGCTCTGGACCTTCTTCGTTCCCTTCACAGTATATCAAGTAAGGTACTATGTCTCTCTTTTCTGTTTGGGGCAGGGTTGGGGTTGGGTGGGGCCCTGATGTATCTGTGGCAGTACGAGATCCCTCGGTCTGTGCTGATGGCACCCTCCCTGGGTGCCCTGGCTCCTGGACCTGCTCCTGGCTCCTGTGCTGTGTTGGGAAAGGAGAGGAGTCTGTCTCTCCAGGCTTTTTGGTCAAGTTTCCGGGTGTATTTGTAAAGCTGCTTTGCAGTGATTTACTCCAGGGGTGATTCCCTCAGGCAGTGCCAGCCTCCGGTGTCTGTCTGTCCCTGCAATTCCTCAGGAGCTGCAGGGGTGGTCCAGGGGGGTGGTGCAGGAGTCGTCCAGACCCCTGCCCTGGGCCCAGGAGAGCCTGGTCTGGCTGAGGAGCTTTGGTGTCATAAGGGTTCCTAGGCAGTGGAAGGGGCTGGGAGTCAAATGCAGAGATTGAGGTATTTCAGCAAAGAAAAGCCTTGTGCTGTAGCTTTCCTTGGCCGTATCTGCCTGGAGTCTGGGTGACCTGTTTTCTACTCCCATATAAATGGCCGTGGCTCCTCACTGGGGCCCTTCTGGGAACTGCAGGAGATCCTTCACATGTTATGTGTGAGAGCTCACAGAGCTCCAGTGAGCCAGTTCTGTCTCCTGAGCTGAGCCATGCCCTGGGGTTGGGAGTGGATGTTGGGGTTTGATGCTCCGGTGGGGAGAGGTGTGGGGTGGGCAGGGGGTGTGGAGTTGGGGGTGTGCCCGGCACAACTGCTCCCAGCAGGTGCTGGCTCCAAGGGCCATTCCATTCCCCGTGGGGCTGGCTCCAAGGGCCGTTCCCCATGGGGCTGGCTCCAAGGGCTGCTCCTGGCGGGGCTGGCTCCATGTGCTGTTGTCCCCATCAGGTGGATGCCGTCTGTCCCCAGGCGAGCGGACGAGCCGAGCGAGGACTTCGCGCTCCGAGTTCAGGAGGTAGGAGAGTGATGTGGGAGAGGGCTGTAGGACTGGTGCAGTTGAGGATGGGCACGGAGGAGAGCAGAGGGCAGGCAGAGTTGCAGAGGGCATTTCTGGATATGTTTGTGTGATGGGAGCTCTAGCCCATATTTATTGCCCCTTACAGGTACTCAATTTTTCCATGGCCTGTTTGCCACCCCCCAGTTAGCCTTTCTGCAGTTATCAGGACTCTCTCCATGTGTACTTCAGGCCTTTCACTCCCCTTTCCTGATGCCACAAATCAAATAAAGAAGTTGTTTCTCCACCCTTCCTGTATGTGCTGGGTACTTCACAGCTCCCGTACCAAAGATCTCGTATCTCCCCGTCAGCCCGTTTTGGCAGGATGATACTGCTACTCCTGCTCCTTCATGTGCTCCCTGCCACACTGAAATGCATCCCTGAGGCCGTGGAGAAATCAATTCCCAGCCCTCTTGCCCTTGCTGTAGCTCCATGCAAGCCTGTGCCCCCGACACGCTCCCCGGCACAGGGGGCCTGCCTGGGCCATGCGTGTTGTGTGTCCTGTATGTGTTGTGTGCATGTGACTCCTCTCTGCATTGCACAGCTCTTGGCCATGGAGCTGGGTGTGGTATCCACACGGATCACCGCCGCCGACAGGACGGAGCACATGAAGAGGCTGCGGCACACGGCACGGCTGCCCTTTGCCCCCGGTGGGTGTCCGGGGAGGGGGGCTGTGCAGTCCTGGGGCTGTCCTGGCTGTGGAACTGCCACCTGGGCTGGCCTGTGTGGGGGCCTCAGTCTGCTCTCAGTGACTCGTGCATGGAGTGGGAGGAAGAGGAGGATGAGGAATGTTGGGGCGCTCCCTGGGAGAGGAGCTGCCGGTGTGCTCTGGTCTGGGGGCTGTACCTGGCAGGGGGGAGGGAGGGGGCCGTGCTCCTGGACGCAGACATGGTGGGTGTGGGCAGGGGGTCCAGCTTTCATGTCACACCAGTTCATACTAAAGCAGGGCTGGTGCAGCTGACAGGCCTTTAGTCACCCTCCTGTGCCCACTTCTTTCTCCTGCAGCCTCGAGTCAGCGCCTGGTAGCCCAGCCCAGGGTGCCCCCCCACCTGCCTGGAGGTGCTCCTGAGGACGTGCAGGTCATGGCCATGGCACAGCAGGTCAAGGAGGTGCTGCCTCACGTGCCCCTGGAGGTCATCAGGACAGACCTGGGTGAGCAGTGCTGGGGTGTCAGCAGGGACACAGGGGCACCTTCTGTGGTGTGTGGGACCTGAAAGCAGAAACCTTGTCCCTGTTGCACTGGAGCACAGTGGCAGCCAGGATGGAGCATCCAGATCTCTAAGGGATCCCTTTGTCCCTGCAGCCCAGACCAACTGTGTGGACACCACGATTGCCAACTTGCTGGAGGGGAGAGTTTCCTTCTTCCCTGAGAGTCAGGAGGCTGGTACTGACCTGCCTACCCTGTCTACCTCCCAGGCTGCAGCTGCTTCTGGCATCCAGGGCTCAGTGGCTGCGCCTTCTGCCAAGGTACTGTGGGCTTGTGCATCTCCCTGATCTGGTGGCTTGTGTTCAGGACTAGCCAGGGGCATGGAGCACTGACCTGATGTGCCAGGGCCTTCCAGAGCCAAGGAGGCTCCTGCTTTGTCTGTCTCCTGATGGCTCCTGTGCTTTCTCTTCCAGACGGCCACAAAGCAGTTTGCAAAGTCCCCCGTGGAGCGTCACCTGTCCTTGCAGGAGCGGAAACGAGCCTTGTACGACTATGCCAGGAGGTGAGAGCCCCCCAGGGCTCCCCTGCCAGGGCCCCCCACCACTCCCCCTGCCCAAACCCCCAAGCCGTGGCCCCAACAGCACCCGAGATGCCCCAGGCTGTGCCAGCCAGGTGGTCCCCAGCCCCTCCTACCCCTGTCCCCAGCCCAGGGCTGAGGGAGGGGGGCAGGTGATTGTCACCTTTCCAAGCGTGCGGCCCTGTGTCATTCCTGGGAAGTGCTCTGTGCTCGTAACTGCTGCCAGGCCTTCGGTTTTGGGGGCTGAGGGGTTGGAGCTGTTTTCCAGAAGCACTGAGGAACAGAGCTGAGCACAACCAGCCTCGCTAGGCTCCTTGATGTGACTCGTGTCTGGCTGACAGGATCCCCTGTGGGACTGGGTTTTTCTGAGGTCACAGTGGTGCCCTGACACCCTCGGTGTGGGCAGGACATTCCTGTTTGGCACCATGGACAGCGCAGTTAACTCTGGTGCGAGGGAACAGGGAGAGGAACCTGTGCAGGATTTTGATGAGGCAAATCCTGGAACAAGTGTCCAGCTCTGGTGACTGGTCGTTGTTTTAGAATGATACAGAAAACTGAGAATGAGTTTGAGGGGAAGTGTGCCTGGGCTTGTTGGGCACTGAATGGCTGGGGCTGTGCTGAGGGAACCATCCTGTCAAGAAACCCTAACTGGGAAAGCTCATCCTGACAGCCAGGCAGGGGATCCCTGCTGGGGAGCAGGGGCTGGTGTGGGTGGTCCCTGCAGCCCCTTGCAGCCTTGCTTGGTCCGTGCTCCGTCGGGCTTGTCCCCAGCAGGGACAGTATCTGCCCTGTGGCTCTCCTGGAGCAGCTGTGGCCACTGTCACCCGTTTCCATGGGCTCCAGGCGAGCTTGGAACGGAACCGGAGCCAAGGTGCAGCCGGGGAGCGCACGGCCCCGGGGCACTGCAGTGTGAGGGTCACCCCCACTGCCCGGCCCTTCGGGTCCCAGTCCCGGTCCCTCGGGGTCGCCGCCTCTTTCCGGCGGCCCCTCCCCGGGCAGGCTCGCGGGGGACATTCGAGCGGTCCCGGGGCGGTGGTGTCTGAGGGCGCTCTCTCCCGCAGGCGGTTCGCCGAGAAGCACGGCGTGGCAAGGGCCGGCGGCAGCCTCTAACGGGCCCGGGCCGGCGGCGGCCCGTGAGCGGAGGCCCTGCCCGCCCCGGCCCGGAGCCGTGACCGGAGCCCGTGACCGGAGCCCGTGACCGGCGGCACCGGCGCGCGCGGGCCCCACGCGGACGGGACGGGCGGGGGCGGGGGCGCCCCCTGGCGGCGACAATAAACGGCGGCAGCGTCCGGCGCGGCTCGGGCTGTGCGGGCACCGGGAGCGGGGGGCGTGGCCGGTGGGGGGCGTGGCCAGTGGGACGGGGGCGGGGCCGGGCCCGGCTCCGTGCGGGTCCGCACGCGCCGCGGCCGCCGCCTGCTCGCGCGCCGCACGTAGGCGCCGCTTAAAGGGGCGACGCGGCGGGGCCGCCGCCCTCGCGGCCGGGCGGGCTGCAGCCCGCGGGCGGAGCCGGTGCCCTTTTAAGAGACGGTCGCCCGGTGCCGGTGGTTTTATTTACATGGGGGCTCGCGGGCGTCACGTGACTGTCAGCGGCGGGGGCTGCGCGCGGAGCGTCCGCGGGGCCATGGCGGGAACCGGCGACGACGGTCCGGGGGGCACCGGGCGTTCGGGGCCATGGGGGACCGGGGCGGGCAGGGGGGCACCGGAGGGTTCGGGACAATGGGGGACCCGGGTGGTCCGGCGGGCACCGGGGGCTTCGGGGCACTGGGGAGTCTGGGGGTCCCAGCGGGACTGCCGTGCACACGTGGGGGTCTGGGCTGCGGTGCTACGGGGCTGGGGGCGGGTCAGGGGGGAGCCCGGGCCGGGGTCCTGTGGGGGCTGACATGCCCCGGGTGTCTCGGAGGGACTGATGAGCACCGCGGGGGCCGGGGCAGGGGCAGGCGGGGGTCCCGAGGGAGGAGGGCGCGCCGAGGAGCAGCCCTGGGGCCCGTGGGATGTCCCGGGTCGGGAACCGCGCTCGGTGCTCCCGCGGTCTCTGGGCAGGGGTGCGGGGTGTGCCGGGGGAGGCGGCGGGATGGGACGGGGTGCGGGGGTGGGCGGGGGGCAGCGCGGGGGCTGACGGCCCCTCCAGGCTCCTGGGTGGAGCTGCGCTATGGCCCAGGCTGCCCCGAGCCGGCACCCTCGCCGTTCTCCTGCCACGCCGACGTGGAGCGGATGCTGCTGGAAGCCCAGCTGGAGACGGAGAGCGGGGACGGGTGAGTTGCAAGGAGGAGCCGGGCCCCGGAGCTCCGCCGGGCCAGGCTGGGCTCGGTGACCGAGGGGGTCTTTTTGCAGGACCCTGCTCGTGCTGGACGCTCCAGCCTGGGATGACAGCGGAGCTGGGCAGGCGAGCGAGCAGTCAGAGGAGAGCGAGGTCCTGCCTGCACACAGCCAGCCCCCACCGGGCTGCCCCCACCCCCGGCAGGTAAGGGAGCTGTCCCCTACCCCACCCTGCTGCGCTCCTGGGCCCTGCTCTGACCTGCCCCGTGTCTCCTTGCAGTGGGATATGCTGGAGGAAACCAAGCGGAGACAGCGACTCCTGCCAGCGTCCCTGGGCTGGGCCTGCACCCGCTGCCCCCGGTACCTGTCTCCAAAGTAAGTCTTGTGTCCCCCACCAGCATGTCCTGCTGTCCCCATGCCCCCATTAACCCTGCACTTTTCCCAGGGAATTTGCCTTTGTGTGCTCCCCCCAGCCTGTGCTGTGGAGCCTGCAGGGAGGTGCAGTGGGGAGGAAGAAGAGACTTTTCAGTTCAGAGCTGCTGCTGCTCTTCATCCCCTCGCTGCTGCTCAGCCACCTCCTGACCCTGGGGCTGGGGTGAGTGTCGGGGGGAGTCTCACCCTTGGGCTGGGGTGGTTGGGGGTCCCACCCGCGCTGCCGGGGGACCGGTCCCGGGAGCACAGGCAGGCTGGGCCTACAGTGGGTGTCTGTGCAGTCGGGGGCTTCCTGGGTGCTGCTGGCTGCTCCGATCCAGGGGAATGTCCCCACAGGAAGCTTGGGGAGGGGGAAATGCTCCTTGATTTGGGCTGCTCATCCTTGAGTGCTGTCCTGCACCACTTCTCCCAGCAGCTGTGGTGCACTGCTGCCATCTCCCCTTGCTCCTGCCTTGCTGGGGCCCAGCAGGCTGTGCCCATGCTCATGCCTCACAGTTGCTCTCTCCAATCCAGGATCTACATTGGGAAGCACCTGGCAGCCACCTCGGCCAACCCCCTGTGAGGAGCAGGGCCGGTGCTGCCCCGCTGGGTGTGCAGGGGGAGCCTGGCCCCTCACAGCCCCACCGCTCCCAGGCTCCGTGTCTGGCACAAGGTGCCACCTCCCCCTGTACCTCCTGTAGCCCCCCCCTGGGAGCTGATCCCCCTCTCCCACGTAGACAGGAACCTGCTGACAGCAGCACCCGGCCGCAGGCAGCCCCTGCCCTCCCCAGCCCCTGGTTACGGGTCCCCTGTAACGCAGACTGTAAATATGACTGAGCCCCTGTGAATAAAGAGCCCTGTTCCAGCTTGGGGGCCCAGCAGTGAGTCCTGTCCCTGTGCCTGGTTGGTGCAGCTCAGCTCAGGGAGCGACTGTCAGGCTCCCAGGGGGCCCTCCTTGCTGCAGGAGGGTGAGTCCCTGCACTTCAGGGTGCTGGGGTGGTGCTGACTGGGGATGGCCCCGGGTGAGCAGGGGCATTGCTGGGGCTCACGGGTGCCCAGCTCCACACAGGTGCCAGCTGAGGTGTTTGCCCTTTATTAGCTGTGGCTCTGGGCTGGTGTGGCAGGGGCTGAGCGCAGCTGGTCGGGGCAGCGGCACCTGCCTGGTGCAGGTGCCAGGTGTGGCCACGAGAGGTGGGACTGCACAGCACGAGGTTGCCTGGGCTCACATGCACACCCAGCTGGCTCCTGTGCAGTCACAGCGCCTGGGCCAGGAGCGTGTCCCAGTGCTGCGGGGTGGGGTGGACAGATGAGGGACAGGAGCTGCCTCTGGAGTGGAGAGCGGGAGGGGAGGGAATTGCTCAGAAATGCTGCTGGGAAGGCGGCTGGTTCCCTGCCTGTGGTGCAGTGCAGGGAGGAGGGAGGGCACAGTGGCCGGATGGTTGGGGTGCTGCTTGGGTGGGACTCAGCACAGCTCTGGTGGCAGAGTTCTGAGATGGGCTGGAGCAGAACTGCTGGGCCTGAGCAGGATGGTGAGGGCTGGTAAGAACACGGGGGCAGGGAAGCGTCTGGAGGCGGGTGGGTCCCCGCCCCAGGGGGCACCTGGAGGGCAATAGCCAGAGCTGGCAGGAGACAGGGTGGCAGTGCCCGGTGCCAGCCTGGGTGTTGGGCTGCACAGGATGCTCTGGGTGTCAATGCTGCAAGATGGTCCAGCAGGTGAGGGTCAAGCAGGGCCCTGGGGTCTAGCAGCCAGCTGGGCAAGGGGACGTCATGGGCAGGGGTGGCACCAGGTCAGAGCTGTGACATTCGCTTGGACTTGGGCAGTGGCAGCGGCGGGGACTTGAGGGCTCTGTTCCTGTCTGCTGTTGGGGACGTGGAGGCCTACGAGCAGAGAGAGATGTTATGGGGGTGGGGAATGGGGGCTGGGGCCAGCCAGTACCTTCCCTCCAGTACCTTCCCTCCGGCTGGGGTGTTGCTCTGCTCCAGGAACGTCTCATACACCGCGGGGCTGATCTTGCGGGGCAGCGGTGGGACCTTGCTGGCACTTTTCACGCGGCCACCGAAGCCAGTGGGAGACAGGGACAGGCCTGTGCAGGCAGGGGAGGTGGGCTGGGGGGCTTGGCCATCCCAGGGGACCCATGGGGCCCATCAGTGTGCCCGGGGCTGTCAGTTCCCAGGGCTGTCAGGGCCAGTGCTCCTGCCTGCAGGAGTGTGGGGGCCTGGGCAGCATGGCCAGGGGTGCCCTGGGATGTGAGCCCAGCCAGGAGTGGGGGGAGTGCTCTCGGCACCAAGACCCAGCAGCACGAGATCTGGGATCGACGGCTGCCCCGTGGGGAGCGTTTGGTGGGAGATGTGCCTGTGCTCCCACCACCTGTGGGAGATGTGCCTGTGCTCCCGCTCTGTGCCACGGTTGGGGCAGGGGCAGGGGGTGAGGATGCCTCTGCTGGGGTGCAGAGCTGGGGGTGCTGGGGGGGCACAGCCCTGCTCGTGGGGCTGTTGGGGCTTGGGAAGGTGCCCCCCGAGCCGTGCTGGGGCGGGGAGTACCTGCAGCACTGGGCTGAGCTCCAGCAGGGGCTCGGCTCAGCGGGGGCTGTTTGTTGTCGGAGCTGCCCAGGCTGCTCTCGCTCATGCTGTGGGACAGTCTCCACTTCTCCTCCTGGGGCACAGAGGGGAGGCTCAGCACCTCGAGGGGCCAGGCTGGATGGCAGTCCTGCATCTCCAACCTTGGGCCCCTCCAGGCCCTGCTCCTGCCCTCTCTGCAGCAGGGGCTGCCACCAGCCCCATGAGGGGTCCTGTTCGGGCTGCAGTCTGGTGCAGCCGGCTGGGTCAGGGGGTCTGCGTGCAACAGGACACCCAGGGGAGTGCGGGCTGGGGGGGCCCAGGGAGACACCAGCATCACCTTGGGCTCCGGCAGCTCCGAGAGGGACTGGCGCACGTCCTGCCGCCGGGACCTGAAGAGGGAGCTGGAGCGGTTCTCCCGGTGCTCGTTCCTGCGGTCCTCACTCTCGGAGGTGCGGGGAGCAGGCTTTGGGATCGAAGGTGTCTCTGTGCTGTGGAGCGACTGGGGCGGGTGAGGAGCAAGGGGTGGCAGGGGAAGGGGGAGCAGGGGTTTGCCATGGGCTGGCCAGAGCACTGCCGGGAGCAGCCGCCCTCAGCCAGGCACCGGCACTGCCTGCAGCAGAGCTCGGTGGGGGATGTTCCCAGAGGACAGACGTGCGTGGCTCAGGTGATAGTGGTGTCCAGGTGAGCCTGGGGGCTGCACGTGGGGTGTCTCTCCTCCGTGCCCCCACTGTGGTGGCATGGCACGATGGACCCCTGAGATGTGCTTGACACAAAGGGAAGGCAAGAGGGCAGAGGACTGGGGAGGTGGGAGAGAAGCCCCTGGGGCAGAGCAGAGTGAAAGGCTCAGCAGGGAGGGGTGAGGGCAGAGAGAGCGGGTGGCCAGCACTCCCCCCCACAGCACTTGCCTGGCTCCAGCTTGGCTCAGCCAGTCACAGTCGGGTCCCCAGGCCATGGACCGGGGTCGTCCGCTCCGCTGCTCCTCAAAGAAGACCTGAGAGCACAGGGAGCCTGAGACACAGCCAGGAGGGACGAGAGGGCAGAGCCTCACGATCCTTCCTTGGGCTCAGCCAGGGCCAGCAGTGCCCTCTGACCAGTCCTGCTCCTGTGCCAGTGCCAGCCACCCCATGGCAGTGCTGTGCCTCTCCTGGGGCAGGCAGGGACCCTGAGGTCCCCCTTGCACAGTGCCCCTCACCCTGTTCCTGCCCCAGCTGCAGCCCCATCCAGGTGCTCCCTGCTGTCCCACACCTTGGTTTATCCAATGTCATGCCCGTGTCCCCCAGCAGTGCCCACCCTGTGCCTGCTGCCCTGGCACTCACCATCTCCCGCACCCCGTACTGGCTCTCCACCTTGGCCCGCAGCTGCTCGAAGCACTGCTCCATGCGCTCGTGGAAGGGCCGCAGGTCCTCTGTCACCTTCTGCCCGTGGATCCGGATCCCCTCTGCCAGCAGCGGGGTCTGTGGGACAACGAGGACAGGCCCCTCTGGGCTCGTGGGGCTCCCTGGGACGAGGACACCCCGGGGCAGGTCTCCCTGCCTGTACCTGCCAGGCGATCAGGTCCTTCAGCTTCTCGATGTTCCCTGCATCCCTGGGGTGCTTTTTCAGGTAGGACTCCTGGAAAAAGGCCTGCAAGGACCCCCTTCAGTCCCACTGCCCAGTGCCTGTGGCCACCAGCCCCGGGCGTGCCCAGCCAGCCCCGGCACAGCCCCTGTGTGTACTCACAGCCCCTGTGTGTGCTCACTGCCCCTGTGTGTACTCACAGCCCTGTGTGTACTCACTGCCTCGTACTTGGCGAAGCCACCCATGACAGCAGGGTCCACGATGCCGTTGAGCAGCATGGAGAGCGGGTTGATGGGCAGGCTGGGGTCGTTCTGGTGCCGGTTGATCTCGCTCATGATTTTCTCATTGGTTTTCGTCATTGTCTCAATGGCGTTTTCCAGGGGGGAGATGATGGTCTGTGTGCAGGGAGGGGAGCTCAGTGCCCGCTGGCCCAGCCACCTGCCCCCCCCAGTTAGGGCTGGCAGGGTGGGCTCTCCCTGGCCCCACAGGAGGGACCCCAAGGGCTGCACATCTCACTCTATGAAGCTCCTCAGACCCTTGGCACTGGGTGCTTGGGGCTGAGCCGAGAATTCACAGGGCCGCACTGGCCATGCTGGTCCCTGCTCCCAGCACAGGCTGCCCCAAGGTCAGTCCTGTGGGCATGAGGCCCCAGTGGCTTACAGGAAACCTGGTTAACCATCGGTGTCACTTTGGGGGTGCAGCAGTGGGAGGCACAGCCTGAGCACTGTGGCAGAGACGTGTGTGCAGTGCTTGCGCAGCCTTATGTCCCCATGCCCACAGCACCCTGTGACAGCCCAGCCAGGGCATCCCAACAGCCCAGCCAGAGCACTGTGTGACAGCCCACCAGGGCACATCACGTCTCCATTGCTGTGGCTCCTGAGCCTCCCTGGATGTTGGCCGAGCACCCGCCTCTGACAGGGGCACGAAGCCCACACACGGAGCCTTGGCAGCAGCTGCTAACACCCCTCCACCCTCTGCTGCTGCCCACAGAGGAGATGTGTGTTCCAGTGGTCCAGCCATGCAGACCTGTCCCTGCCACCACGTTGGTGCTGCTGGCACCACCAAAGGAAGGCTGTCAGTGCCTGGAGTGCCCGGAGGTCTCCGTGCCCTGTGTCAGCACAGGAACCCTTTCCCGTGGCCTGGCACAGCCCTGGCACTGCCCCGAGATCAGCCCTGGTCCTGAGGCAGAGAGGCCAAGGCAATGCCAAAGGGGGGTCATGGGAGGGAGCTGTGGATCTGGGGGCTCGAGCACTGAGTGGGCTGGATCAGGTGTGCACTGAGAACAGGCTCTGACAGGGTGCAAGAACCAGGGCAGAGGCTTAGATGAGCGTGGGCAGGACGTGTTCCCCATGCCCTGGCTCGAGCTCCTGGCAGGGCTGGGGGCTGGGAGCTGTGCTCACCGGGATCCTGGGAGGGCCCTGCTCCCCCACACACACACACACTCCTCACCGTGGTGGTGGCAGTCACAGCAAACCAGCGCAGGATGCCAGGCAGGGGATAGGCTGTCACAAAGGTCGTCCGCTCGATCCACATGTTCTGCAGGAAGGGCAGCATCACCCACTCCCCCCCTCACATCACCCACAGTCACCCCTGGCTGCCCTGTGGGACGGGGGGCCTCCCACCTCCCCTTTTCATGGGCACAGGACCACCACCTTCCCCATCCCACAACCAGGGACCCCCTGTCTCTCCTCTGGTCCCTGGCTCCTTGCAGTGCCCCCCCAGCTCTCCCATCCCTGCTGGTTTGGGGTCCTGGCAGCCCCTCCCAGCAC